CTAATAATACTAATAGCTAATAAAGACACACAGTAATCATCACTGTAGAGGTGTTTTCTCTCTGTAGTCTGTTACCTCTTTAACAAACTGTGTTCTGTGTTCTGTTTATAAGCGCAGGATCGATTTCTACCATCAGAATGCGTTTGTCTTATTTATGAATTATTCGCGTCTGTACGTTTTGAAATTCTGATTGTGACGTCATTATTAATTAACCCAGAATATGATTATGGTTTCTCTTAAATACTGGAATTAATTTATTAGGCTCCATGTTTCAGGTTAAACTTAAATGATAAAACTCATCAAACCCGACACTCAGGATTAATCAGCCTCACGTGACTGAATGAAATGATGATAAATGATGTAAAAAGTGTTTAGTCTCTCCAGCTCTCTCTGACTTAAATTGTATCCATAATAAAGTTATTGAGGGAAATGAAAAGACAAATATTTCTAATAAATGTAGAAAGTTGTTTGTGGTCCTTTTGTTGTCAGTCTACAATGAACATTTATTTAAACCAGACAGTGAATCAGAAAACGAATCAAATATAAACTAGAGTTTAATCTGCGATCCGTCTTCACTGTTTACATGTTGAAAAAAATCTTATCAGTCCGATCACATAATTGATGAACAATGAGGGGGCGTGTCGGCCGTTAAAACACTTCCTGGAAGACTGTTCTCATGCGTCCTCGCTCATGGCTCCTCGTAGATCCCTCTTCTCTCCTCGATTCTCGCTCCTCCGAGATAAATAAGAGCTTTGGGACGGCCGTCAATATGGCGGAGCAGAACAACTTCCGGTTCAAGCGAGGATCGAGGAGCGAGGAAACGACAATTAAGAGACTTGAGAAGTACCCCCTGAACCCTCAAGGACTTACTGACGTCATCTGGTAAGTGGGTGAGTGTGAGAGACTGTGAGGGCTTGAGATGGTGTAAATAGGAATGGGACAGCACTTTGCTGCAACATATCACGTTATCATGAAAACGACAAAAGATATGATGTATCATTGTGAGTATATATTTTATACTTTGTACTTCCTGATTTGAACGTCTTCCAGGCTCTTTCCTCACAAGATGAGAGGTAACTTATTATAATCTATTTACTCGTTTTTCTCAAAACAGCTTCAACGACAAAATCAAATATTTGTTGAATAAATAAATAAATATCTTCTGATTTCATGTTTATTTTTTGTTCCATCTTCAACCCTTAAAGTTTCTGAGTAAATGTAATAAGACAGGATGAACACGTGATCCATCCTCTTTGTTTACCTTTTTTTTAACATCTTCATGCGTCCACTGGTTACCCCATGTTTAACGTCACATTGCACATTGGGTAATTCCCTTAGGCTCAGTCAGCATCCTATGCTGATTTACGGTAAGGGCTCATAAAGGGCTCAAAATGTCTGCGAGAGAGCCTCAAACACTTGATGATTTGACAGTGGGACAGCCCTAAACCCTCACGGACTTCGCGGGAGCGTGACTCAAAGTCCGTAAGGGGGGACATTGGGATTGGGCCTAAGAGACTTGGGATGTACCCCCAGTAACCTGAAGGTCTCTACCGCAGACAGTGCTGTTGAGTATGGTGAGGGGGGGCAGCTGACAAGAGTTGAGATCAAAGTATCTAATGTACGATGTACTCAACGGTATAGATCTGTTTCAATCAATGATGATCTCGGTGGCAATTGTGGTTCATCATTTCCATTCTTATTGCGTCCTGATCGAATAGTCAGACTTGGCTGCGACTTGATGGAAGAGGGAAACCAAGCAAGAGCTGCGAGACAGAGCCAACGACATGAAGTCTGCACTGGAGGCCCAAAACGTCATCAATTGACTGACTCATTATTGGCCTGCACCAGATATATAATAGTTCTGTATTTTTTCAATCAGTTTTTATTTTCATTTCCTTTTTAATTTTTGTTTGGTACAAGATTTGAGAAGTTAAAAATAGGTGTTCTCAGCTGTAGCCGCCGTCTGAGTGCATGCAGTACAGACACAAAGCCTGGGTAGCTGATATAGGCGGAGGATATTGGTTCAGGTTAGCATATTGGTCGGGACAACAAATCAGGTTACCGGTACCTTGGCGATCGTGGACGCCTGGCCAATCCTAGCGCTTGAAGGCCACACAGGGCGGGTCTCGCTGAGAACAGCAGTGGGATTTGTGATAACGCAGTACAGAGCATCTGCCATTTTCATGTGACCCAAATGGGCATGAAAATAATCATTTAAGATTGCAATAATTGTCAAGATCAGAAAATCCACCCCAAAAAATATTTATTTCATTTTTCTTTTGCCTAGACATACATTTGTAGAAAAGTTGTTTCAGTAAAAGAGATGGCCACTAGATGGTCAAAAAGACAATAAGGTCCAGCTGCTGGTAGAGAAGTAAACCACACAGCCAATCACTATACTGAAAGGGGGCGGGTTTTGGCTTTTAGTCAGACCAGATCAGCCCAGAAGTACAGCTCAGTAGATACTGGTACCAAAGCTTTAAATCTCCTGGGTGTCTAAGCTGGTTTATATATTATATACACTGAAACAATATACGAGTATCACACCATTTATGGTGTAATAGACCTGGTTACATTAGGCCTTTGGGCGTAGTGCAGCACATCAACGAGCAGAACTACTTTTATGGCAATATTGGATTTAGTATTGGATGGAGTACCATTATCAGTATTTAAATGACTGAATTAGCACAACACTTCCGGTAGTTGCTCATCCCACATCTAGATTATGATATAAACTGCTGCATGTGAACGCTTGAAATATTTATGACCTTAATTTCCCTTTGGCTATTGCTATGCCTACAGGTGAGCCGATAACAAAAGAGCATCATCGTGCGTGGCCTTGGTTTAAGACAGTTTTATTTATTCAGCGAGGAGTTAGTTCTCACCCCATCAGACACGCCAAGCCATTTTGAAAACCAATTTATTCCCCTATTTGAGCAAAGTTCACATTTTCTTTTTTCTCAGTCAACCCCGAACAACGGGTTCAAGGCAGTGGACATCGGGGCATGCCCGGAAATTAAACACACAAAAAGGAAATAGGTTAAAAAGAAGGGCTGCAACAAACCTGGAAACTATTAAAAAAACAAAAAAAACAGCATTCAAGAGACTTTACAGGAGATCATTTAATCCCAAGCATGTGAGGGGACAGCTGTAGAGGAAGAGCTCATACAAACACTTCACTGTACATACAGATTTACATTGTTTGGGCACATGACGTATGGTCACCTGGGGGGGCGGGTGGGGGCTGCATCACAACTCCACACGTGCACTGCGTTTGTGGAGCGGCTCCAGATGGCCTACGGAGTTCTCTCAGAATAAAGAGATCGCAGACAAGAGTACCGTCTCACCTGCGGTTAAGCTTAAACAATATACTCTAATACTATTTATTATTACATAATGACATGAAAAAATTTGGAATGCACACCGCAGTGTAGGCAAACTGGAACACCATTAAATGATTAAGTCATTCTTCAATGCAAACTGGTCAGGTAGGTAGAGCTGGGATGCAGACTGAACTGACAGCAGAATGTTTAACGCGACTCCGCAAAATGCTGCATCTGTTCCTCAGAAGGGGGGTGGGGGGGGGTGGGAAGATGACATCATCTCCCTTGTGGTTGAACGGTGTTGTGGCGTGGCAGCTGCCCAGATTTCATCACCATGAGTCCCTTGATTTCTTTTTTGTAAAACCATACTTTGTTCCGATATTAAAATCAAAAGCATGAAAATAAAATGAAAGTATATATAACTCTTTCAGGTCCATTTTACGTGTGATGGGCATTCCTCCCCCCTCGTCCTCACTCCTCTTCGCTCTCGTTCCCACGCTCCATGTCTTCCTCTCCATTCGCTTTGGAATCTGTTCTGCTGTCCGGATCGTCCTCCTTGTCTTCCTCCATCGCCTCGTCCTCCTCCCAGTTCTGAGAAGGACCACAACAAAATAAACTGTTACTGGTTGCCCACTTCATCTCAGTTAAGTTTGAGCAGACACTTCTTGAGATCTGTCCGACTGGCCAGTGTCTCGGGACTTACAGAGTCGTCACCGTCGTCGGGGAGACCTTCGTCACCGGAGGCCTCGTCTTCATCAGATGATTCTGTAAAGGGCACACGAGGGGAAAACAAATCCATCAGCGTGCATACTGCAAACTCTTTCCACTCCCATCAGTGCTGGTAGGACCTTTCTAACACGAGGAGAAAACAGTGAGGGGGAAGAGAAAAGAAGAGAAAAGCCTTTCATGCTTTCACTGGTGGGTAAACATCGCGGGAGAGACGGCGGATATTTGCATTTCAATAGTGTAGCGGGGCCAGTTGGTTATGACAACAATACCCACTGTGCAGAGCGTCAACGTGGTTGGCTGAGGCTGTTGAAGCCCCGTTAGGCCCGCGGGCGTCTGCAGCAACCGGCCAACTTTGATACAGATATTGCTACGTATTAAACCACATGGCATGAATGCAAATATGCCTTTGGGGCGAAGCTGAAGACGAGGAAAACGAGGCAATCAAGAAGAGAGGCTGTGTGGTGACGTAGCTGATCTGTACGGTACATGCTTCACAGGGAGATTATGACCTGTTGAACCCTCTCAGCATACAGCATTAATACTACCAATGCCAGCAATGCTTTAACTTGACTTTAAACCACTTAAAATATCTTTATCTCTTAATTTGAATTTTTTGATCCAAATAACTACTATGGATGAGAATAACGTAAAAGGATGACAGTTTATTTTTGGATGTTTCCACCGACTTCAGAGCAACTGAAGGATTCAGGAGCCTTGTGTAGCAACTGCTTTTGAAAAAAAAAACCAAAAAAACAATTTCTTTCCATCTTTTAAAAGTTATATTTGCTCCTGTTTTTCCTGCCGACCCCATATGTATATATTTATGTAAAGGAAAGTGTTGCGTGCCGTGAAAAAGCAGCTCTTTATCTCCATCACGCGGAGGGACATTTTCTAGAGGCCTAAATCTAATCCTGTATTGTGACAGACATGTCGGCAGCGTCTGTGTAATTAATGTTACCTGAACAGACCAATCAGGGGGGGAGGGGGGCAATTGGAACTCCAAAGAGCTGCTTAATTATTTCACGAAAGCCAATTTTCTACGTGGTTCAATAAAGCGCCTAATACAGTACAGGTAATGAGAAACGAGAGTGAACAGAGCCGGGCATTGTTGTTGTTCTGCTCCCAAAAAAAATAAAATAAAATAAAAAAAGAGGGGGGGGGGGATCTGAACGCTGCCGGTCAGGTTGCCAGGCAACAGGAGTCATGTTTGCGTGTGGTGCATCGCCAAGAGTGGCTCCACGACGAGCACCGCTGGCTTCATAAACGTGGGCTGATTCAGTCCTGATGAACCGGACCGGATCACGATCGCCATTCAAACAGAAATGTGAAACCGTCGGTAAGAGCGCCTCGGTGACCTGCTGCATGCTGAAATGTGCAACTGATGAGTTGGGCGCCGAAATAAATCATTTCATTTGAGTCGGCTGGCGCTCACTCAAACTGAACCGTCTCTGGGACTGATGGGTGTGGTGTTATAGAGAAAAGGCCTCAGGACACAAACACTCACCTTCTTCATACACCAGCTTTGCTGTGTGGTCAATGTCCATAACGCTCTTGCTGCTGTCACTTGTTGCCACCTAGTGGTGAAAAGGGAGAATGGTCTTAGAGATGCAATGTGCAGACAGACCACCAGTCTATTTCTGGTTTCTTTTCATTGTTTTTTTATTCATAAGTCACTTGGTTAATAAAGGCCTCCTCGCATTAAAGGCCATGTGATTCGATGCAAACTTTTACCATGTTCTCAAACGGTCGAATGTTGCACCTGTGCTATTTAAATGCTTGCCGGCGAGATAAAACCTCATCTGAGTGTTTGTTCTCTTCTGTCCTGCTGCTGCACATCCAATCAGGCGCTCTACGTCTCCGCCACGCCTTCACTGGATGAGGCGTGCCGGAGCGCCGCTGCGCATTCCTTGTGAACAAAAGGATGAACACAGATCCTTTAAGGGCACGCCTGCAACGGTGACTTCAGTGGCGCAAATGGTCATTTCTATGATTTGGGCTGTAGTTTTATGCAGCCGGTTGGGGGGGAGGGGGAGTCTGATAACACTTTTGGACAATACTCATCTGTGCCTGATATTATTGTGTGGAGCACACGGTCGGTCCGAGTCTACAAGGAAGCATGTCTGTTCACCAGCAGAGCGCCCGCTGACTACCTCCTCTACAAGGTCGGGAGCTGTCGACTTTGCATTTGGAGAAGTGATAATGGCCTCCGTGGGTCCTTGTCCTCGTGTCATCTGTCGACACATCTGTGTCTGAAGTTATTGTGACGCCCATGTCAGGGACAGAGCTACAACCCGTTTGGTAGAATCTCCGTCCGCTTACATTAACGGATCGTTCCATCCGAGGCGACGGGGGAAATAACTTTCTACACGAGCTAACAAGAAGTTGCTTGTTTCTGAAACTGACAAATGTGTCCGTGTGGGACAGATGTGCGTCGGGACTGGCTGGAAAGTCTAACCAAGATAAATAAGAGCCGAATAACCAGAGGGAATAAAATGCACCCTGTGCAGCTCGTGGAGACGTCGTGTTCATACATAAAGGGAAGAGGACACTGGGTTTTCCCGTCAGGGCCAGCGAGAATAATTATAGTACTTTGTTTAATGGATCTATAGTTAACGGCTCAATCTTTGAACTCACATTTGTCAGCATTATAAAGACTGAACTCTCACGTAGCAGTGGAATTGCACCGAACTGCTCGTTGCACTCAAAGTAAAGCTGGGACGATTAATCAAATTTAATTTTCAATTGCGATTGTGGCTTCCAGATAAAAACACAGATAATGAGATCAAACGGTGATTGTGCTGCGTTCCCGGTGGTGTTCCTGGTACAGACGGACCAGTGAGTCATTTACCATGCTTTGTGAGTGCGACTTTTTTGCCGCGTCATATCTACCCAACCAATTTGTTAAAGACTTTACTTGTTTACAAAAAGTTCTTCAAGATCTAGCCCTTTCATTTTTGCACCAGATTGGAGCATCTTTACGACATGGTTGCCGATCTTTTTCTAAAGTATTTTATATATTTCCTCATTACAGTCGGACAGCCATCAATGAATCAAATGCTCTAACAAAGAGAAGTAACAAATACAGCATCTGTGGCCGTCGCAGGACTGAAGAGCTTGTCCAATCCTAACATTCTGCCTAAATGACAGCTGTGAGCACTAACGGCCATGTTTGTGGTTTTCGTCCATCGTGGTCATTTCTGGGCCGTGTCCTCTCAGCAAACATGTGACATTTTGGAACCTTTCTACACTTTTGAGGGTGTTATAGGGTACGTCATCAAGCTGGGTACCTGAGCCATCCCAATCACCCAATTCACACCTTTAAAAACACTTATTTCTGTACATGGTGACACCTACCTGTGTCGTTAGCAGATAGAGTTTCCCATGCAGCTTTGTTAGCTTGTGGAACATCTTCACTCTGCTCTCAATCATGTGATAAAGCACTCCCAGCTGGGTAACCAGGTCTGGCAGCTGTTGGGAGACACAGATGGATCGGTTGGAGGTAAATAAAAAACATTTCAGCAGCAGGAAAAAAAACAAAGGAGGAAGCAGTCGATGATGAGCAGAGGTCCCCTCCCCATTAACTAATGCTTTCCTGTGATGGAAGGTCACTAATAGGTGGACCCAGACACCCAGACACTGAATCCTTTTCTCCGGTGCGCTTCTACTTTAACCACAACAGCTTTTCCAGCCTTCATGGCATTCGAATGAATTTAAAGCTGCAGGACAATTCTAAGTTATTAATAATAATTTATTACATTAAATGTTATTTTGAGAGTCACATTTTTTAAAACCAGCCCAACATTTATTTATTGGTATATAATAATAATCTTTATAATTCATCCAGTTCAATTTAAAATATTATTGATTATACTTTATTTGAAAGGACAGTTGTTGACTATGTACAGACATTAATACAGCTGTTAGGCTACTTCAATATATATGGAAGTGAATCACAGCAGAAGTTAGACCTCGTGATGTTCCAGACCTTCGCGTCTCTCTAAATGGACCTCGTTGAGTATGAATTGAGTATCCCTGTTCTTAGAATGTTAACGACAAAGCTAACAGGTAAGTTATTCTCTTTGTAAGATCAACCTGGGAAGTGTTCCTTCTGTGTGACATTACGGATCAGGGCATACGTGATATGAGAAGTCTTTCCAGCATCAACGTGCACATTAAATGGATATCCAGCTGCTGGTTATAGAGATATTTCGATGGACAATCCAGCAAACGGTAGACGGTGAGAGGAAATCTTGTAATCTCTGCTGTGCGGCGGAGATCTAAACGAGAACGTCGGCAAAAAGAGAGGAGATGTGCACAGAAGGATGGCGTGCGTTTGTGTGATATTTAAAACAGCCGTGTGCTGTGCTCGTGGAGAGCATCCGAACAGAAGGCGATGCAAATCCGAGGCTTCATTATCAGCGGTGCAGAATGTGGTGTCGGTGATGCCGACTCACCGATGCCAGGTATGATGTGTGGTGCATGAGCACGGCCTTGAGCCACCGCACCATTAAAACGGCCCTGTAGGAAGGAACAAATACACATGACTGACTGTGTGCATCCACGTGATGCTTTTAGAATGGAAAGTTTAACATGAAAAATGAAGCCAGTGGAATGCTTGCATTTGATCCGTCAAACTCAGACTTACGTAAAAGGATGCCCTTGGAGCCTCTTTGTGAGCTACGGGAGGAGATGAGAGGGTAGATTAGAGTTAACACAACTTCACTGAGGAACACACAGAGGGATGTGCAGCAGTTTGTACATTGCACATCGACTCACCTCTTCCACCAAAGGCAAAACAGCAGAGAGGGGTAACCGGGCAACCGTTTTCTTTATCACCATCTCTTTACGAGTCTGGAAAACTTTCTGTGGGAGAGAAGACAAAGTTATTTAACTTTAGCTGTGAAATCTGAATGGCAAGTGAGCAGAACCTTTCGGCAAAAACAAACATGAACTCTTCTATTCCAGAGCTCAGACTCACATTGAGGATGCTGGCGTCTTTGCTCTCCAGGCCCTGCAGCAGCAGCACCGCAAAGTTGTCCGTCTGTAGAGAGGCCGTCCCTTTAGGGGCCCCCTTGTCGACGGAGACTGTAGACAGATCGATTTCCCTTAGCCGCTCCGCTATGGACATCTACAGGAGAGCACAGATATATCAAGTCAACAGGGATTGGCTGAGATGTGTTCACACTAAATGTATCCGTCTCACTCAGGATTAACACCAATACCGCATCACAGAGAACGAAAAGCAATGTTTCATCACGTTACATTTAATCGACATCACGTTACGTTTAGTCGACATAGTTCTGGACATTAGCCTCAACCCAGCAAGTCTGAACTGTAACGGAACTTAAACTTGAATGGAGGGAAATGAAGACGCTGTAGACGTCTTATCGCTGATTGGCCGAGACTCGACACATCAAAGATGTTTTATTGCGAAGATCACGACGTCACCTTTTCTCCTCGTCTCACTCTAATCTGAGAAACGCTGGCTGGCCTGTTGACCCTCATGATGTTGTTATTTATGTTCTTGGTTAGGATTTGCAATGCACATCCTGAATCTATGTAAACATGTGATCACAAAAAATGAAATAAAAATGAACATCTAGTGTGTGACTCTGGTCTTCATTAGGTGAGCTGCTGCTCGGTGCGTCGTCAGACACTGAACACACCTCTTTGGTGTCGGTGTCTTTTTTCCTCTTGTCCGATCCCTGCGGTGTTCCCTTGATGGGGGCTTGGTGACCAGGGAGCCCTGGGACCAACACTCTGCTCTTGGCGTTCACAACAGGGGTTTTCACCTGGAACGCAAAAAAAAAATAATCTCAGGTTTTCATCATTTCCAACATGCCCGCGCTACAGTGGTTCTGGTGACCCAGAGAGCAAGACGAGATTGTTACCTTGGAGACGGCGGTTTCCATGGAAAGGGACAAGCTGGTGTGAACATCCCGGGTCAAACACACGTGTCTCTCTGCTGTGTTGATCTCCTGCACAGATAAGAGGGAGCATTGTGGGTAAACCAAGAGTTCAGTGAACAAGGCTGATAATATTACTGTGAAGCTACCTAACATCTTCATAGTTCACTGAGCAAGAACCACGAGTGGACTGTATTTAGGCTAAAAGCTGAAAGCAGTCCAAACAAAACGTCAGCCGATAGCTGAGACTTACCATAACGTATGCTGTCAAGCATTTAGTATCACTGTATTATTATCCAACAAGTCACAACCGTATATCTCTGACTTCCTGGAAAATGTAGGATGATATTATTTTTGTCCGGTTACAGTACAAGAACACACACCAGGATAATCAGCTCTGGTATAACGGAGACATGGAGGAGAAGCGCTACGGTAGAAGCTGTAAACATGCAGGGAGGGACACCAATAGTTTCAATGTAAATATAAAAACAATACAGAAAGCGAAAGGAAACTCCGCCTTCCTCAACTGCGTGATTGATCAAGTGATTAGGAAATAAACAATATCTTAATTCAAATATTTGCTTTGATTAAATAAATCTTGGCATCAGTAGTTTTACTGATGTATTATAAAGCTGCCTAGAGCTTCACGATGCACAGGTCATAATGTGCCCTCCAGCTGGGTTCAGACTGATTAACTGAGATGCAAAAACTACATTTTACAAAATTACATTTGAAAACATCAGAACATTATAATTTACCTTCGGCCAAGACTCATTTTTTCTGAATAGAATTCGAACCCATAATGTAAATCAACGCTGCCTCCATTAACAGCAGGACTGTGCTGCCCCACCGGCTGCTAACAAAGCACGACTAGAAAGCACCAACGCCTCCCTAAAGATAGCTCCTCATTTTGACTTCACAAATCAGCCGTTCCACGTCCTGATTAAACTTGGAGGCCACCTAGAGGGAATATTTGGTGAACCCTGACATGGCTGTCCATGCAAATCTTCACAGTGTTCTAACCTTACTCGTAAACACGCATGCATCTCCGCAGCCTCCTGTGTACTCACCACTTTCTCCATCACAGGCTGCAGGTGGTTGCCGTAGCCCAGCAGCACAGTCCGCGTACCGACTCTGAGGGCAGCAGCCAGCAGCGGGATCGGCACCGGGGAGTCCTTGGTGTCCGACATCTGCACAGTACACGAAGGGGACAACGGCTTCTTACAGGGCCTGTGGGGACAGATGGGATCAAAGTTAAGAATCACTGCCGAGAAAGACGTGATTAGTGGCATCTGCTGGCTGTGCAAGGTCCCCTAACAGCCATTAGGGGGCAAACAGTGATGAACAAATAAGTAAAATGACTTTCAGCCTCCGTGGAGGAGTTCAGCCTCTCAAAATACAGCTGCTGGGCCAGAAGAGCAGCTCTGTTTGAATCAAATCTTTTATCACCTTTATTACCTTATGACTGGAATACAAAACATCCCATAATTGAGAGAAAGTAATTGCCTTTTCCAAATGTTTCATAAAGTTACCTTACACTGCCTCGTACAGCGTGTGGTGCTTTAAGGGCTTACCCATTTAAAAAGTGCTCAAAGAGATGCAGCTGCCCGTCCTTACACACCACCGCCAGCCTCACCGCCTGTGTGAAACAAACATTAGCATGAGGTAAATAGGTTTCATAAAACATCACAGGGAGGAACACTTCAGCAGGAGCGGGAGCTTAAATCCTCATCGTTACGCTCCCCGTATACACATGAAGATGTCAGTCAGATTAGTGTAATGTTTGGACATTTTGTCCGCTCTGACCTCTTCCTTGCTGTTGGACGCGATGAGGTCGATGTGCTGTGGCTCGTCCGTCAGCGTGAAGGACACCACTGAATTCTTGTCCTTTCCGTCTTCTCGTACTTGCCTGCGGGGCAGACAACTTGGTGTCAGTTCCGTGACAAATAAGCAGTGGTACGTCTCAAAGGAACAGGGGATGGGCTGCGGGTATTAAGCGTGCACTCACCAGACACTGAGCAGCCGATCGTGTGCGGCGCCGGACAGGAAGTAAAGGCCGTTGCTCTCGGGGGGTCGTGTGGTGGCAAAGCGCAGGGTCGTCACGGCCGTAGAGTGGCCTGTGAACTTCTGCGGGAGGGGAAGAGGACAAAACAGCTCAGTTCAGCTGAAAACAGACCTTATAATCATTGTTCCTCTTCAACAAAACCGGGACCGGAGGTTTTCACTAGCACTGATCGTGGCTACTAGCGTACTACTTGAGCCCCAGAATAGTTGACACCGGGTCTAATAAATCCACAAACATGAATAGAAATGAGCAGACACTCACCCTGTAAACCTCCTTGGTGTCCAAGTCCCACATCTTGATAACCTGACCGGCTGAGAGCAGCAGTTTGCCGTCAGGGCTCACACACAAACTGGTCACCGCTGCACGGTCCGCCTTCCACTTACTGAGGAGACAAGTAAAGACAGTGGATTTTCTAACTGCATTTTTATGGGATTCCGTTCCATGTTTTGTCAACATCGTTCAACAGGATCACGAGTCAGTGACGGATCCAAGTAGCCCTTCAGTCTATTGGAGTTTTCCATCTCTTTTAGATTCAAGCGACGAGCCCGAGCAGCTACATTCAACAGCACGCCGTGTAACTACTGCACTCCAGCTGATGCAGTAAGAGATGTGCAAAACACTCGCCACTCAGCAAAACCATTTGTGTAGACCACAAAACGGGCTTCAGAGAGGATTCATGGCGACATTACGGCTCGTGATTGTACCCGCAGACAGTGCCGCTGCTAAATCACCGGAGTACACGATGTTTACGCTGATGATGAATGCATGATGGAGGAGCACTCGTTGGTGCATTTCAGTGGTTGGGAGTGAAGTGTCAGGTTCTGACGTCTGTCAAACTAATAGTGACGTCTCTACGCAAGGAGAGGCTGAGACAATAAGGAAATAATCTGCCATTTAAAACAATTACATTGTTGAGAGAGGCGCTCTTTAAACACGCCACTTTGAGCGTTCTGCGAGCACAGGTGGTGGATTGACCGAATGAAAGTTGAGCTTTTACAGAGCTGACGATGAAAACAGATCGAGTAAGAGCAATAAAAGTTGGTAGTTATTCAGAGCCATAAAAGACATTTTGTTTTTACAGATGTCCCTGTGAGAAAGATTAAGTTCACTCACTGAATAACGTATGGCACTCTGTTCTTCAGAACTGACTGTTATTCCCCCTTTGTCCCTTATAGAACTAAAATCCTGTGATGTATTTTTCCCCGCACACCCAACCTCTACTCGATCAGACGTGGGCGGATTTGCTTGAATGTCGGGCTGCAACTGACAACTATTTTGATAATCGATTTGAATTTACTGTCCCTTCGCAGACATTGCCACTAGTGGTGTAACGGACCACTGTCGATCCGTCCGGGTCCCCCCCCACGGTTTGGCCCCCCATGTGAACCTCGGATTAATTACATAGTTTAACGTTAACCATCAGTGTGAAATAAAGTTTTACTGACAAACGTTATGCGTCAATGTTCAGTAAAAAAAAAAATAGCTTCTGTACTGTGAGGATCCCCAGTGAAAGGAAACATTTGAGCGGTTGAAATTGGCTGGTAGCTTACGTAAGCACACTTCATATTATGTTTCATGGGAAGAAAATATGATACGATTTTGATACAAAAATAGAAAGAACGATTTTTTTCCATATATTGATGAATAGGTTAAAACAACTGACCGTGCACGTGTTCTAAAAGGGTTTTATTTCATCTTAACTTAACTCATCTGAAACGAGGCTCAAAGGACACGAGGTGTTGTATACTGTACAGCTTGTAAAGCTTCTGGAAACAAATTTGTAAAATTAGACTTTATGAATGAAATTCACTTGATACAGTTTCAGGTTGGTCTTAAGGCAGCACAGGTTTTTAGCTGGCTGTGCATGAAAAAATGCCATTTCTATTTGACACATTAATGATGGCATCAGAGTCTGTAGTACTTCTGTGGGCTAGACCTTCATTGCACGTCGTGTTTGTTTTTTGTTGCTTTCATTTCATTAGGTTTTTATTTGATTGTTCCTGTGTGTATCAGTGTTTTTGTAGTATAAACTTAATTTCCCTTGGGATAAATAGAGTGCTGAGAGATACTTTGTTTCAGTATACGACTTTAAAAAACAACTGGTATCACATAAAAACACTGGAACCTAAACGTTATCAACGGAATGAATGAAACTCAGCCGGTAGTTTCAAATGTTCACACTGACAGGAAGTGAAGTCAGCAGAGATGCCTCGATTTAAAAAAGAAACGTCTGTTACGTTTCTGTTCACCTCAGAAGTCCTGCTATTGATTGGAAAATGAAACTTTTGTTGTTGGTCCGTGTTTGGGATGAACAGAGGTCGACCTCAGTGTTTTGTTAAACTTTATCCAAAAGCAGCTCCAGACCAACATCTCTCTCCCCAGATAGCATACAGTGCTCATAGCTCATTGGTTGAGAAGTTCAGGGTTTCTCCACCATTATATTGGGGGGAGCCGCCCTGTTGAATATTAGTGCACTGTTGAATATTAGGAGTGCCCCTTTAATGTTGTCAAAAGATTATTAAATGTATTAGTTTTGAGGAAAACCAGTAGAGAGAAAAGGGCAACACATTTAGGAGTGCGCAGACCAGCAGCATTGGATGGGTCGGACACATCGTATGTTCCTGAGTTAGAGCAGCATGTCGTCGGGTAAGTTTGTTCTGAATGTGAGAAACGCTCAGGCACCTGTCTGTCAGTCACAATTGGGAAAAAAGGAGAAGAAATGGTTTCATGTTAACAAAAAGTAACAGAGTAACTGGCTCTGAGTTATTCTTTCACCGGATTCACGTTGGCCAAACTTTTGCAATACATCGCATGGCTTAAGTGCCCACTAAAAACATTATGACGATCATGTGTGAATATGTAAATAAAGTAAGCGTACGATGTAAATCTGTAAGCCTATTGCTGAGATGTAACAAACAGAACAGGCAGAAATGGTAAAATATTTGTTTGTGCCAAGAATTTCACTAAATCTAGTCGACATTTAGAGCTTTAACTAGAATGTGCATTGTACATACAGTATAGTTAACAAATATGCTCATGTCATTATCTCAATTAAAAAATCCCAGCTGGCTATGTAAAAAGCAGTGTGCTGTAGTTTAACCATCCAAGGATTACAGTGACAAATGTGACCGGCAGCAGGTCATGTCAACGCTAATAGATGTTAATTCTAGAAACAGCCAAAAGGACAACTTGTGTTCTCTAAAAGTCTGTACTTGGTGAAGATCGTTTGAGATTGAAAACACACGCTACGCAACAGACTGTTTGGAGTTTAACCAGAAAAGTACAATAAGAATGTAAAAGAGGCGTTCAATGTTCTCAAAAACAGAACACGATTCTTTACACTCAGCAGTTTGAAGTGTGATGAACTGAAAACACACCATTATTTTTCTTCACCCATTTCACCTGGCACTGTACTATAGTGTGTGTGTGCACACACATATATATACACATATACATACATACATACATAAATCTAACAGCATCCCATTCAGATTTTAAATATCACAATGTGATTCAATAGAGCAAAGTACTACAAAGTCATGAACATAAATATAGAATAGGAAAAAATATACTATAAAAAAATACAATGACAAGGGTGAAGAAATGGCTGCTACGTCTGTAAGGAGGTGCGCAGAGCTGGGCCCACAGGTGGTGGGGTTGTGGTGCCAATGGATCGACTTCCACCAGTGCAGGTTTGAGATGAATGTCTATCTAGAACGACGTAAAAGTTGCATGAATCCTGATAGGACTTTTCAGACTGGGGTTGCATTGCTAAATAAAAACCACACCGTTATCTGATTTAGGATCATATATAAGAGGGGCTCGGATCTGAATTGAAAAAGATCAGATTCCATGTGATTTGTGCTGTTCACACTGTTAACAGAACCGAGCAAGAAAACCAAAAATGTAGATTTGGGTCACTTTGGACTGAAGTGTGCAGTGTAATGAACTAGATACTGACCTTCTCGCCTTGCCCGTCTGCAGGTCCCACTCTACGATGTTTGTATCATCTGAGGCGCTGTATAATAGACTGTCTTCAGGGTGCCACTGGACACAATTCACCCCTCCGCTATGGCCTCCATCCTGGCAGAGACAGGACATGATCGTTAGCAGTGGTTAACTATTTATCCTATCATTCAAAATGGAACACTAATCCAGTACCTTGACAGAAACTAGTTCCTTCTACATACAAGTTAGTGAAATAAACTTCTCCAGTCAAATTTAAAAAAAAAGGTAGGATACAAGTGAGGATGCGAGTGCGTTGAGTGTGGGCCTCACCAGGGTGCAGTGCAGGGCTCCCTTCGCTGTACTGTAAATGAGGACACTGCCCGCTGCCGTGCCCATCGCCAACAGGTCTGCCTTCTCCTCCATCTGCCCGGGCTCCGATTTCCTCTTCTTCCTCTGGGGCCCCTCCTGGAAACACACATTGGAGATGTAAAACTCTTAAGATCACCAATAACGATACAAGTAGGACGCATGCTTGGTTCACTTGAAGGCTTTCATCTTTGCTCGTATTCAAATCTCAGTTCATTACACCATTGACTGCTCAAAAAAAAATAAATAAAAAGTCTATGAATCACTGCTAATGATTGGCATTTAATAAATTAGCTTGCTCAACAACCTTCTGATAAGTTGTGGATAAGAACACATTCCATACGGCATCTAAAAAAGCATTAATTAGTACGATTCAATGTTTCAATTTCTGTCGTAAACCAAACACCATCGACTGGTGCGAAACGGGTTGCACATCGACAATAGATGGTAAAACTTTTTCAGCCTCATCACTGAGAAGTGTCATGGTGGCACGCGCTCCTGAAGCTCTACTCGGCTAATGCTAACTTAAATAACGACATTATTTACAGTGCTAGCGGGCTAAATAAAGTCAGAGGTCATTGGACGGATTAACGTAGCCGCCATACGTATTCTTTAGAGTTAGTTCACTCTGAAACACTGAATTAAGACATTGTCCATGCTTTCTTGACTACCATGCGGGACTACCATGTGCGTCCTGCGCAGCTGTTGAAAGCTAACGTTAGCTAACTGCTAACGTGGTTACCCTTCTAACCAGGTCTGTGTCGGACACATGAAACCGTCCACAGTAGCGCGCGGCCGAAGGTTTCAAGCTTCCGTGGAATTCCCTTTGAGAAGAGTGACACTTTACTGCTTTTATTGTGCGCACTTCTGGAGGAAAACTCTCACGGGCAGCTTCGCTCGGGCCTCGTAACGCAGCCTCACGTACCTTGACTGTCCGGCATGGTCCCCAGGTTATGCAGATACAAGTGGCACTCAAATGGGCTGATGGCACGTATTCTTGGTGAAGTGTTTTACTGTCTGTGTTCCAAATGCGAAGTCTGCCGTCCTGGGCACATAATGCCAAGTACTGTCGTGATTTTGGTGAAAAAACGCAGGGTAGCTGCAGCGAAGAGCTGACAGTATCGGCCGCCATTTCTGAGCCGCTGCTTGCGTCTGCGTGCGTGGTGTACACCAGACCAACCACGTGTGGACTTCTGTGGACATGCGCACTAGCGCGTGAGACGAGCCCCGCCCCTGCCAGGCAAACAAGCTGGTTGACTCATTCTGCATTCAAGTCTGCTCCTCACAAATGGAATTATTCATTTTTTTATTAAAAAAAAGTTAATTTAACATAAATAAATAAATAAATATTGCTGTTTTCCTGAAGGATGTTGAGCAAAATGTGAAACTACTTTCTAGCTACTTTTCTTTGACGAACAAAAATGCTATCAAGACACTTAATACCTGCATGTTTTTAGTGTGATATACCCCTGGCTCTTTTGTTTAATTTGTATGCTCTCCCTGTGTACTAAAACTGTTACGTTTTTTGAGTACTAAAAAATGAATGAAAAAACAGCCATTTTGTGTTTGAGATTTTACAGGAGTTAGGATCCTTTTTTTCTTTTACATTATTATATTGTTGTTGCCTTTATTTGATAGATAGTAAAGATAGACTGGAAAAGGGAAGGGTTGGTGTTTCCATCACTCAAAGTACCTCCATTCCCTCCTGTCTCTTTTTAATCGCACTCCACACCTGTAGACCTATATGGCATCTTGTCCAATCACAATCAGGGTTCCCACATTTCCTTGAAGAATAACAATGATCAACCCACGAATGCTGATTCTTGACTTGAATACTGAGATGCATTTCTTATTTTTATTTCTTTACAAATTTAACAGACTCAAAATATCAATACATTTCTATAAAAACAACTAAAAAAGATGGGGTTGAATTAATAAATCAAGCTTTAAGAATAGGTGATTTCCATAATAAGATATACAACGTTAACAATAGTACTTAAACTCTCACATTCAAAAAAGGGGAAATATGTTGTAGCTTCAATAATAATTGCATATATTGTATTGTCTTACACAGTATGCAATTCTCATAATATTTAAAAAATGTAATACAAAAAAGCAAACATAAAACACATGAATTATACTTTCTTGTTCAGTCTTCATGAAAGTAGGCCTACATATGCTATGACATCTAAAAACATATGTGTGCAACATTATTAGATGTATTCTTCTCATTTTGTTTGTAATGAAGAATCTAAAAAGAAGCAGCCTTGTGCCAGTTAAATGAGAGAGTTCCAGAAAGATTTTCCTCGTGCTGTTATTTTCCTGTAGCACTGTGGAGACAATTCCTAACAACACTGCTGGCTGAGGCTGCCACAATAGCAGCTGTAAATATCACACTTTACAACCAGTCGATTCATTTAAGTGCTTTCAATGGAAAATAACATCAAAACTGACTCCGTAATTGAAGTGTTCCAATTTGTTTAATAAGTACTGATAAAGTACTGACAAGTGTTTATCTCTGCATTAGCCTACTTTTTTGGATATCCCGCAGGCCAAAATTACGAACGTACTTGAACGCATGAATTAATAAAAGTCTACTGTTTTTGACCCCAAATTCACCTCGTAAATTAGCATTCACGTAACTCAAGCCAATAACTTAATGCGAGTATGGCAATTTGCATATTTAATTTTTTTTTTTTCAAACGAAAGACACAATTACCATTTACATATTTGGCGCAGTTTGTTGTGGACCTTGGAAATGTTAGTGTGCAAATTACGTCGAGTCTCTAAAATGCCTGCATTTGCATTTATAGAACAGCAAACTGAATGATAACAGCAATGAGAGCGCCAGGTCCACATACTTCGAATAGGAAGGGTTGAATTTCACACTGCAATGCTTAAAGAAGATACTTGTAATGTCGCCCTCTGCTGGTAGACTTAAATTACTACACTCGTCGCTCAGTTATGACGTGGCTCCCGTGTGTTTTTCCAGCATGGTGACCTCCTTGGGCTGTAAATACAACCGGAGTTTAGGGGAAATGAAGACCAACGAATCGTTAGTTGTCACACTGTGAATGAAGTGAGTGAACTTCAAGCCAGGATTTAATTTGAGTCGATTATTTACCAGTTTTTCATGTTATATTTATAACTACAGCTGTCATTTGCCTTTATTTTTTATTCATCTGCTTTTAATTCAATGGATGGGATGTCAGGATGGACTTTTAATTTGAGCTCACGTACTATGTGTATAATCTGAAGTAATGGCTGTGCAAATGCCCTCTGCTGGACTCCAGCTCATGCACCGACTGCTGAGGATTAGCACATCCGGTCAAAGAGGTCTCCGCAGCAGGGACGCGCTCCGTGAATGCAGGAGGGTGACGAGAACCTTTTCAACCTTTCCCGTGAAATGTAACGAGAGCAAGGGAGACAGCTCGGACCCGTCGCCCCCGAGCGTCCGGCTCCCCTCCAGACGGATGCGATCCCTGTCCCCCCTGGAGAGGATCAGCAGCCTGCTGCCCCGGGACGCCCTGAGCCCCGAGGTGCTGCAGCTGAGGGAGCGCGACCAGCAGGACCCGGAACTAGACGCGAACATCCGGGTGTCGGACACGCAAGAGGAGGATCACGGGGCAACCCCTGTAGAGGAGGATGACCCCGAGACCCCGCGCGCATCGGACGCGGAGACGAGCGTGTCGCCCACTCTCCCCGGGGAGAGCCCGCTCGCGTTCGGGGAGCTGCTCGTCGCCGAGTACCGCAAGAAGGCCCGGGTGGAGTTCAGGAAGATGTTCGAGCTTCAGACGGGGGCACGCCTGCAGAGCAGCTGGGGGGTGGTCCCGCACGACGACGTGGCCGGGCGGCCTGCCGGCCGCTTCGTGAAGACGAGCAGGGGCGTTCGCATCCTCGTGCGCCGGGCCAGTCTGGAGGATTACACGCTGTACATGAAGAGGGGCCCGGCAATCGCCTACCCTAAGGTGCAGGGTTGGGCTGCGTGTTTTCACGGTCCCGCCTGAGTGCCTTCTCACTCTTCCTAATTGTGTTGTCTCTCTCCTTCCCAGGATGCAAGTGCAATGCTCATGATGATGGACGTCACAGAGGGAGACCGTGTGTTGGAGTCGGGGTCCGGGTCCGGAGCCATGTCTCTGTTCCTGTCCAGAGCAGGTGTGCACCCGTCTGACTCAGTCATTGTCTCACTGATCCTCATTGATCGTCTATTATGCTATGTTGTTGGTTGCCCCCCCCTCCCCCAGTCGGCTGTAAGGGTAGCGTGCTGAGCGTGGAGGTGAGGGAGGACCACCACAGGAGGGCAGTGCTCAACTACAACCGCTGGAGGGCGTCGTGGAGCGTGCGGCGAGGCGAGGAGTGGCCCGACAACGTCCAGTTTCACATCGGCGACCTTGACGAGGCCTCGCCGCTCCTCGCCGCTCGGGGATTCCACGCGGTCAGTGTCCGGCAACGCCTGATTATGTGTTTTTAAAAACTCTGGGGAATTAGGTTTTATTACATACGCCTGCTCTGCTCACCCGTTGCGTGGATTCTGTCCGCTGCAGGTGGCTCTCGACCTGATCAACCCTCACCTGGTTCTGCCCGCCGTGGTTCCGCATCTGCACCTCGGGGCTGTGTGTGCCGTCTACCTCGCCAAGTGTGTATATCCCAACCTTTTTTAAAAAGCCGAAACCCAGAGAGCAGTTTCGACATTTAGGGAAACATGCTTCACTGCTTTCTTCCCGAGTTAGCAGAGAAGGATGACGCCACTCTCGCATTCGTCCGCTCAGTACAGGCCGCAGTCGGTTAGCTTAGCTTAGCATAAAGACTGTGGGGAAACGGCTAGCCTGAGGTGACAAAAATCTGCCTACCATGCACGTCTAAAACAAACATGAAACATCTCATTCATTTTGAAAGGGACAGGTTGCAGTTGACTGGCAACTTGGCGGCGATGACGAGATTTTAGGAAGTTATTGCTCCAAAATAGTCTGGCACAATCACCCTTATTGGAACACTTATTGGAACAATATGCATGTTAAGTCAGTCATTTTTCAGAAAGGCTAGCCAATTACAACCATTTCCAGTCTTTGTGCTAAGCTAATTATCTCTCGGCAAATAAGCATGTGTTCCAAAGTGTTACTTTCTTTTAAAGTGGGACGTGTCATTTAAATGTGCACATCTTGAATTTTTGATTGCCTTGAGTGCATAAAAATACTAAAAACAAACCTGATTCTAAGACCTTGGACCGTCACTCTGACCTATGTTACGCAGCATAACGCAGGTCATCGACCTGCTGGAGGGGCTGAGATGTCTGGCGCTGCCTCTGCTGTGCGAACGCATCGTCGAGGTCCCGATCCGAGACTGGGTGGTGGCTCCGGCCCTCCAGAAAGACGGGAGGTACTGCGTCAGGAAAGATCCCGTCCTGGACCAAGACCAGAGGGAGGAGGCCGACAGAGGTGATTTTAGAAAGCCACACGACCAGCGCCTGTTTCAATGATGACGTTTTAGAGCATTTATTTAACGAGGTTTAACTGTCGCACTTCAGAGATGAGCGCGGAGGAACACCCAGCCTTCGGGAGTATTCCCTACATCGCCAGACCTCATCCCGAACAGATGAGCCACACAGGTCAGATATTACATTTATAGTCCCGGTCCACAGCGTGTCAGTGAACGCTCATCGTGTGTTTTTCCATTTTTCAGCGTTCCTGGTGAAACTGAGGAAGTGTGTGCGGTAGCTCGTCTGCCCCGGAAGGAACCCTGGGACATAACTTTTATTGTAAATTATTTGATGAATAAATGGTCAATGTTCACTGTGGTGTTTTTTGATGCATATTTTAAGAGTATCATCTTGTAAATGCCAAGTCAAAAATCTAGACAATAACTTTAGTGAAACTGTCTCTTTACATAGGGATCCATATGGTAATATTTACAGTAATTGCCAGCGATTTAATAGCCCTGTATGTGCAGAACAAAGGGAGACACGTGGGTGTGTCCGCTCCGTTCCTGTGAGGAAACTTGAGTGAAGTGCAAAGAAAGAACAGGCTCTCAAAAAGACACATTTTAGCTCAAGCCTTTATTCAAAACTCAAGAGGCAGTGTTGGATCATGAAACAGGCACATCGGCAACAGCGCTAAAAAACCCCGATCCCAGCATGTGACAGACTACGTTAACTTTGATTCATCCAGCTTGTCATTTCATTTTCACATAAATAAGTGGTGAAAAAAAAGTGCTTCAGTACATAAATAAATAAATAAATATATAAATACAAAGAACTAGGTGCAGGTTAAACAGTAATCCTCTTATAAAGGTGTACATAGAATGACATGAGCTCATTCTCAAACAAGCTAACTTTTACTTAACTTTGTTTCGGACCGGTTCTGCCGAGTCGGGTCCGCGTTTCTCATTTTAAAAAAGCGGTGAACAACAAACGGGTGAAGTTTTCAGACCTTTACTTCAGAGTAAAAGCGGCATGAAAGAGGCGGAGGCAGCGGCACCCTGACGCTCTACTTACTCCTCGCTGATCCAGTCCATGGAGGGGTCGTACGTAGACCCACTGGAGGACTCTCCTCCTGGGGAGAGACACATGGGAGTTTAGCACAACTTGAAATAAGAAAATCATCTTCTGGAGTTAATAATACTAATACTGTTCTTTACCTGACACCGGGCACAAATAGGATTAAACAGATTGTGGACACTAAAACAAAAATATATATTTCATGTTTTAAAAACTTACTTTTGTACAAACTATACAGTCGGTGTGTTGTTATGACTTAAGTTATACTTCTGACTTTGACAACCTCGGTGCAGACAAATCCCGGCGCAATCTTTGGCGCCCCCATGAGGGGGGCCCGGACCCCAGGCTGGGAGCCACTGTGTTAAGAGGCAAAACTCCAGATTGATTTACTTTCGTAAGAACTGATTATACATGGACAATTAACTTTGTGGTTATTTGATCAATGTTAATGAATAAAACAATGTGTGTAGGAGCAATGAATATGATGTCCTAAACCAAATATTCAAGCTTTTTAAATCGATGTCACAGGACATAGAGTGCCATCTTTTAATTTCTAATCCCGCTTTGTGAAATGCCTCCCAGGTGCATCCAGATGAATCACATCTACACGCAATCCAGACACCAAGTAAGTTTAACAAAGAGAGCTCTGAAATGCTCGAGGCAGAGTTTAGACTTAAACTCATGATTAATCTAAAATCCAGCAGTGAGGATTTCATGAATATGCACAAAGATTATGGATGTCTTTCTGTCATATTTTTAGCTATTAGACCAACTGTATATTAGTGTGTGGCAAACAGCACATGCAACATAAATAATAAAAAAAATAACGGTACTAGTTTATCTGCCATCATTTCCATTTTTAAATCTTTTGGTTCAAAGTTGCTGAGATGGATTTTATGATCATTTTGGGAAGCCTGGGACCTACTTGGAACCTCAGCACTGCAGCAGAAGGAATGCCTCGTCTGGATCTTCACCTCCGCCGCCTTCCTCCGACAGGCTGCGGCCCTGGGGGGCGTGACCTCCAAGCTCAGCATGGAGGTCAACGGGTGGGAAAAGGTGGGGTTCGGGGTCCGCGCCGAAGAGCCTCTGGAGGGAGAGGCGGAGGACCACGGGCCCCGATCCGACGCTGAGCCACGTTTGCAGAGGGGACAGGAGACCGGGGAGGCCAGGGGCCCGCGGGGCACGCGGATGCGGTCCAGCTCCCCATACTGCCGCCGGGCGCCGCTGTGGTGCTCCGACCGCTCTCGCTGCCACACGAAGTGAGAGGACATGATGGCCATCACCTGGAAGGACAAAGAGAGGGAGACCAAGAAATACATAAATACAGCTCCATCAGAAAAAAAATCAACAACAGAGATGGAACTTCTGGCGTTAATCTAAAGCCATAAAAACTGCACTGTGCAGCAAAAAACAAGACCCTTAAAAAGAGTCCCAGAGCCATTCATCATTCCCCTCAGGCAATTACGCCGCGTACCTCTTCACAGCAGCGCCTGCTGACAGCCGCTCTGTACTCGACGCGAGCCCACAGCTTGTCTCGTTGCTTGAGGAAGCGGGGAAACTGCTTCTTCCAGTTCTTGCCCAGCGCCCATGGAAAAATCTCATACTTGCTCTCCTCCTCGTCCTCCTCCATGGTGTTGGCAAGATACCTAGCGATGGAGCACACAAATCACTGTTAAGGCGTTTACAGCTTGCCCAGCGGTGGCACACTTTTTTACGACAACAACAAGATAAAGAAATAGAGATAGTATTTTATTTTTTTATTTTAAACTTACAGTGCAATGAAGAAATTCTTCTTGGTGTATTCAGCGATAGTGAAGCGGGCCCTTTTGAAGTACACAAAGGTCATGGCCAGAAGGTACTGGTTAATTAGGAAGAAAAGTTAGAGTCAGTTGATTTCAAGTAGCTTTTAAGCACTCCATGTGCCATTTATTTAGTTATCCATTTACTTGACAACTTACCCTGTCAGTCATTTTACAGCAGCGGTCCATCCACAGAAAGTCATGGATCAGGTCATCGTCTGTAACCAAAACACAATCATTTAACAATCAAACGCCAAACATTTCTTTTTATTCTTTCAAGTTCAAAAAGTAAGACTGATCACTTTGATTGCCACCGAATAAAAAAACATTTTATTGGGGGAATTTATACCGAAAAGTCTGAAGAACGACGTCATTTCCTGCCGCTGGATGACGATGGTTGGGGACAGGGTCGTTTTGACACGGAACGTCTCGTCCCGACGCGGGCCCGGCTGGCTCTGGGCGTCTTGGCCGCTGGCTCCTCTGAGCCGGTGACTTCTCCTGGTGTGGAGGGACTGCGAGCTGCTGGGTGTCGCCCCAACAGTTACCGAGGGAGCCTGGCACCGAGGGAGCATCCTGCGTGTGCGCTTCATCATGCTTCAGTTAGGGTCATCTGCAGTAGACAGTTGTGGAGTGTTCTGAGAGGAAATGGATGAGAGTTATGAAGTTAACAAACAAAAAAATCAAACAAAAAAACCCCGTTAAAATCCTAGCTGCAAACCTCAAATAAGATTCCATTATATTGCTTGTTCAGAATACACAAAACGCAACGAGCTAGTTTAAGCTAAGTTAGTACCTTAGTAACGTTATTTGGGAACTACTTAAAAAAAAAAAAAAAGTATTAAAGCTAAGCTTGGGGCTAACAACGCCCGTCAACCGAGTCCTCACCTCTATGGTTTTTCCTTTCGGCTTCAGCGAATGGAGCACAGTTGAGCTGTTTAGACAGTCAAAGCTACCCTAAAAAACCGATCAAAAGTCGACAGATTTCCGTGTTACTAACACCCGTATCAGTGACACAGCGGGACAGAACCCGATAGCGCTAAGAGCTGACGTGAATAATGCCCCTGTGAACGGCAGAGAACGCTAAAAAAGTACTACTTTTAAAACAGTCAAACCCGCGAATAACTTAGTCATCCGTCGGTACAAAGCACTGGACAGAGTAGACAAGACGTCACGTCAGCAGTACACCTGCACGCGGGGACGCAAAGACCAATCACGGCGCTCTTTTTCTTCTTCGTCAAATAATGCGAACCTACAGCCTGCGTTTTTTGAATATTAAACAAGTGGAAATAAAGATAAAGAGACACATTCAAATGAAGATAAAAGAATATATGGAACATACCTTTGCAAAATAAAAAATATATTATATATATATATATATATTTTATTTTATTTTTTTAAATGATTATTGAAAACGCAGTCTTGTTCTTCCCATAGTGTGGAGATCATTATTTTTATCGGCCATCAGTTTAGTTTGACTTTAAACATTGTTGTGCCATTCACAATAAATACATAAATGTGTGTGGGTAACACCTGGTTGGATTGATTTGCAGAAGTTCATATTTCATATTTATTTCATGTTTCAATAGCCTAGGCTAGTATTGCATAAAGGAACGAGACAGACAGGTCAGGGAATTGTAAAAGTTTGATCTGTGTACTGACTGAGCATAATTTGACAGCGGAGAGCAGCTGTAATTTGTGAAAGTGGGGGGTTAACGATCTTGTTATTTTTATTATTAGCTGCTGTAAACAAATAATGTATTAAATGGTGACTTGACAGAGATTACAGGGATAAAATCAACACAAATTGGCAAAGAAAATATCAGAAAATGCGAAACAGTTACAGTAGTTTAAATGAGGGTAGCAAGAACATGTTGAGGCAAATGGCTTACATGGATAGGGGTAAAACTGTCAACTTTGTGTTCCTGCTATGATCTGACTCCATGTATGAGTTAAAAAGCATTTCGTGGTTGGAGTGCTGAGCATCTTCCATACTAAAGCGATTCAGTTTGTACGTGTATGGTTATGTGTGATAGGGGGCAGGTTCATATATAACCAGAAATAGGTATTTAAAGAGTAAACAAATGAAAGGATTTTAAATGTATTCACAAATTATTAATTTGTACACCAAAAAAGGGACAAATTATGTTGTCATTCCATCATGTTTAAGTGTACATTGTTATCATTTTAATCAAACCATAAAGCTCAGCCTTGTAAATCTGATTCATTAAATTTTTTCCTGTTAATTTGAATTCAATTGTGTTATCTTGACTAAATTTTGCTTTTAAAATACATGCTGAAGAGGAAAGATGAATACAGTTTTTCCTCTTTTTTTACTTCACTGTCTACTACAAAGAGGCAGAGGCAGTTCAAGTTATTTAAAACTCGCCTCCATGTTCCAGTGAACTGATGCTAGACATAGAAGATAAAAGAAGATTAGCAAATCACCAAAATAACGTACTGCACAACTGTATGACAAAGGTATTTGATTATGTAAAATTAAACATTATTAATGTTTATTAAAACAACAGTTATATTACTTTTCTGTATCGTATATCACTTCAACTGTCATATAGTATAGAACTATTAGTATTATCTGCATAAAACTGCAACTGCATGCAATTGGGAAAAAAACACTTTCACCTTCCTTTGAAATTTATTAGATCTTTTCTGTTTTTGCAATAGAAATGCCCCGGGGGCTAAATAGGGAGATATTGTTTTGCTGGCTATAAAAAGCCACCTGAGGCCAGCTCCCCTTACGCAAATGAGCTTAAAGTCTTACAAGTAGGTGCGTTTTATATGCTTTAACGTGACATATGTGCATGGTGAGGAGTTCACTGAAAGCCTCACTAATCCTTTCAGCTGCTTGTCTTGTGTAAGGTAGAGAGGCATGTGTTTCAGAGCATGCTACAAGGACCTTTTTTCTAAACATGAGCATCAATCGGTGGATTTATTTTGCCTATCTATGACAGATGAGAGAAATTTGTAAAATGGATGTATCAAGGTTTTGTTTTGGCAGCATCCTTGGGGGGAGGGATCTCATCAGACTTGACAACCTCAGCCATCTGAAAATGACAGATACAGCAGGTGGCTAAGGACCTTGGCTATTCTTTGCACCATTCACTGCACTGCTGTGTCTCAGAGAAGACACAAAAAATCTGCTTGTATTTGAAAACATCCAAAATGGGTTGCTCACCATCCAAAGGTAACAATTTTGGGATTCTGGGTCCCATGAAGAAGGGGAGGATGCTTCCCCCTGCACCTCAAGGAAACCCCAGAGATTCCCATTTCGAAGATGGAGTGAATCCTAATCCAACGGGATCAACGGATGGGGATACAAAGGAGAGAAAGGCGGCTGGACAAAGCCAGATACTTCAGAAAGAGGCTCGTTTAACACCACAGAAAAAGAGATATGTAACTGAACTTGCCCCTGAAGCATTAACCGTGGATAAACTCGGGAGTCAAGGAATAGACAACAACACAGTTTCACAGAGAAAAGACAAAAACGTTGACATGCAGGAGGCGACAGAAAAGAAGCCTGGCAGAAAACAAAAAAAAAATACCAGAGGTATTAAGGGGCTTAAAAACAAAGACAAGGACAAAGATAAACCACCGGTAGAGAAAGTGGACTTCCCTGAACCTTTGGTTAAAGCTCACAAAGCTGCTTATGCCTTTTTGAATCCTAGCATAAACAAATATGATGTTTTACTGGGACTTTTGGAACAAGCAACCCAAACACAGGTTTCTGTGCAGACCATGGTTGCTTTTATGGCTCTACGCTATGAGGAAATGATTCAGGGACTGGAGGAGATGGCAGATGAGGGAGAAAAAGTTTTAAAAGAAAATGGAGAACATCTTGCTTGGCCATGTCAACTGAAAAACCTCTCATCTTCTCCACCTTTGAAGTCTGGCTCTGCTAATATTGAGCCCCCACCGGATTTGTTGCAGCAGCTGCTTCAGTACACCACACAGAGAATGCGAAATGTGAGCCAGACTGTTGCCGGAATTGGGGAGTGTGCGTTGGAGGAGGCAGTGGAATACTTTGCCTCTGTCTCAGAGCTTTTAGAAGAGAAACTGAAAGTCAAACGTGCAGTAGAGACTAGGCTAATGCAACTCTTATCTCGCATTGAAATGGCCTCCCTGCGCAAGCCCGGTCCAGAGGATTCGGCTCTCTTTAGTGAGGACAGTGGTATTGGGGCTGAGAGCGAATCCCTTGCTGGGTCTGAAAGACGCCATAGACGAGAGAGTGGTGCGTCCACTGGGACAAATAGAACTACACCTGTCAGTCCTATGGAATACACTTCCATGAACATTAGGCAAGGAGTATCAAGGCAAAGGCTTGCAAGTCAAATAAGTCCAAGTGTTTCCCTCACCTCACTCAACTCATTAGGTTCCACATGTACCATAATGGCCAATTACCAAAGAGACTCATTGCTAGGATCATTCTCCTTAGATTATGGGGAAGAAGATGACGACGATGATGATGATGAGGAGGAGGAGGTGATGAATAGAGGCCTGGGAGATGTGGGGATTAGAAAGCGATCAAATTCTTCAGCTGTAGAACAACATCCACGCCGCCTGCCCCCAAAGCGCATAGAGAATCCTCAAAATGTTGAAATGACTCTCAAAATGAAAAATGCTATCAGTGGTAGGATACAGTTTGTCCCATCACAGAATGCTAGAGCCAAAACAAAGGTAGGTGACAGCCCAAAAAACAGTAGACGACAGTGGACGGATGAGGAGGAACGTTCTCCAAGGAGGCCTCAAACAACAGCACCTATTCGGAAGGCTGTGGTAAAAAAGACCGCAGTGGCTAGAGAGCGACGTTCCCAGTCAGCGGAATCCCTGCGGAGCAAAGGTGAAGATCCTACTCTGCTTGAACTAGAGAGGACCCAGAAGGATTTAAACTTGAGGTTACAAAGGATGAGTAAAAGCAAGGCAAGTGGGATAATGAAGACTGCACCATTGAAACCAAATCAAGGAACCTCACCAGCACAATCTCCAGCAGTACATCGCAAACATCCCTCACTACAGAAGAACAGCAATCCCCAAACACTTAATGGTAAAGCAGGCCTTACAAGGCACAACAGTAAAAAACAGGAGGTAGCTAGTGATGTGGAAGATGATAAACCTAAGGACAAGAAAACATCCAAGGGTCCGATAAAAGCCACCCCACCCCCTAGCCCTCCTTCATCACCACGGCCATCTTCAGCTTTTTACAGAGGCAGGAACTCAGTCAAAAGACTGATCGATACCTTTAGTCAAGGAATAGAGGATCTAGAAGGTCCTGAAGTTCTGGGGCCCCTCAAAGGAGTACGGAAGTGTGGCGTTCCTGTGTTACCTGGTTTAGGGAATATGGAAGCTGTGCTAAGTAGTGGGATAACCTGTTGTAGACCTGAAACTACTTCATCTGAGAAAAACAACGATTTTGATCTGGATAGTCTTCCTCCCCCTCCGCTGGAAGTATTAATGGACAATTCCTTCGAAAGTGCCCAGAATCTTTTAACTGTTGTAGCAGATGAAGGGGCAACAAAACCTGGAAAATCGCCTTCATTAAAAAGGGCTGCAGTATCGCAACGACTCAGGGCCTCATTTCAGTCAGTGACAGTGCTGCCAAGTAAAGGAGGCCTGCCACAGGCTTCAAAAGTTATTTCCCTTCCTAGAGCGGATCAACAACACACATCCGCTCCGTCAAAGGTCAATCAACCAGAAGTCCAACTGAAGGCAGATCCAGGGAAGGAAAAGGATTCCTTGTACCAGCAAGACAGAAAGATCATGCACCCAAGACAGTCTTCAGACTTACAGAGATCGTCAAAAAGTTATGTATCAACAAATACATCTGCCATTCAAGAACAATCAGCAGGCATACAAGAAGGTGGCAATTGTTCAGTGCCTAGATGTAACACTACAGTGTCTACAGTGCCTCCTCCTTCTGTGGTCAGGAGCCAACCACCTGCGAATAGGGGGCGAACGTTACCCTCTACACCTTCTACACCAAGCAGTCTACATCGAAGACTTCCCAGTCCCCACAACTTTAAAAGGCAACCTACTCCACCTTCTTCAGCTAGCCCCCCTGTTAACAGGAAACTCCCCACACCAACAGCAGTTCAAGGGAGGCTTCCCAGCCCACCTGTCACGAAGCAGAATATTTCAAACTCGAACTCCTCCTCTTCCTACCGTTTCAGAGCACCGTCTCCACCAGCCTCGCCAAAAGTACAAAGATGGTCAAGGGAGAACAGCACTGAAAACTCATCTAGTGCTCGGATGATCAAAAACGCACGTTCAGTCTTCTGCCCCGCATCGCCATCCCTGTTTGAGGCCCAGCCTTGTCCAGTTCCCCGACCCCCTGAAGCATGGACCTCTACCGGGGTCTCCTTTCTCTCCCGTTCTTGGGGGAGTCGTGGGAAATTTCCTGTAACTGTTCAAGGACCTCGACCCTTCATCCAACGTAGCCATTCAGATCGAAGGCCAAGTCTAAGTCTGCCACCAAGATCGCCAGGCATCTCAGTGGCTGAGACTTGTGGGAGTGAGCCAGCAATATGCTCACAGAGGTGAGTGTTTACCATGTTTCTATGTTCCACATTCTAAGTCATTCAATGTGGCTTTTCATTGAATCTGTTGTAATGGTTTATTTTATAGGTACCTTCAAGTTGCTAGTATGGAATGGTTAATTCTTCCAAAATTTTTCGACAGTGGGCAATGTAATTTGGCATTAATTATAAAGAAAATGGTTTCTAGTTACGTTGATTTAGTTTATAAGAAGCAGTTTATATATATATATAAATAAATAAAATAGAGCAAAGCCATAATATCATACCTCAAACATTATCCATCTACTTTACATACACAATATACTTCAATAAAAACATGACTATGTCTACTGGGACATGACTACGTCTGAGATAAGCAAGGGCAGTTTCATAAAAGACAGTATATTGTGTAGGTACCTAACTGACTTGACAATGCTGTTATATTACATTATTAGATTATTCAGTGCCCTTTTATGATTTCTACTTAAAGATTACATGTTTCCAAGATGTAGTGAGAATACATAAAGGATAAAAAAGAATATTTCAATTATAGAAACATCAGATAGAGAGTATCACATAGAATATAAAAGATATAAAGCCGGCCTTTGCATTTAATTCTCTCCACAAGTAACTTAACCTGCCTCCTCTAGGTTGAATACTGCATTCATTTTAAATGTTGAGCATATTAAGGGTTACATGTCACAATAGTCTACAGTAACACACATGATTGACTGAGTGAACACACACACACACACACACTTCACAAACTAATCTCATTCATACACCCTCCCTGTTTCTAACTGACACAAACCCACCTGGCCCACTTTCTTAATTGCTATTGACAACATTCTCCATTCATTCTCATAGGCTGTACGATGAACCAACTTGGGACGAAGAATTATGGGGGAGCCAATCAAACCTCAGAGCTACTCTACGCTCGGCATCCCACCCGGACCTGTGTGTTGTCGGACAGGCCTTGCACAGAGACTAAAGGGGACCAATGACGGGGCAGTAGGATTATGGATTAGCAGGCTTTAACAAGGATTTAATAAGACGGTGTTTATGCCACCGCAAAGAGTGGAAGAACAAATTGTATCCACTTTGCTGTGGTAGTGCATTCCCACAATGTTAATGATAAAATGTGGTGAAAAAGGTGTGCATATTTGCATGCATAGTTGAGCATGTGCACTCTCTGCGTGTACCATGTACACAATTTCATTTTTACAATATATGGAATTCATTACCTGGCTTTGTAATAAGTCTGAAGATTCAGGTGTTTTCATCGTCTGAGTTGTCTGTTTCAACTTCTATTAATTCTAAAAAAGAAAAAAAAAACGCCACAAATATTAAAGTGGGTCAATAAATAACGGAGTAGTATTGCTCCATTACTGACAGATAAGCCATCATTTGAATGACCTGAAAGTAACTTCATCACATCAGTGCCATGAACCATTCCAGGATTTGAATCTTATCAAAGATATGTCTTTGGTTTTTGGCAAGTATTAATCCAAGCAATAATGTCATCATCAATAATGAAATATTATTGTTATTGACTATGGTTTCATTCTTTCAGTGAGACCCCTTTCTCTCTGTTGTCTTATGCTGCAAGATAAAAAATAAGGCCAACCTCAATCAGTATTTAAGATGTTTTGTTTTTTAACCAATTGATTCTGTTTCATGTTTAATTTTTACAATGTGTTTATTAATAGTAAAAAAAACTCATACAATCATTCATACTTTTGCATCTTCCATTTTATTAACATTAATTGTTTCCTTCATTAATAAATTATTTAACTCATAGGTGTGCTTCAGTGAAACCACTTAAAGGGTTAATGCGGCGCCTTATTGCTGTTTCATTAATGATTCTTGAAAAATAAGGTCAAGATTGAGGCAGCGGAGGGTGAGATTTAGTCCATGCATGGGAGTCAAGCTCCAAACACTCTGGATCCGACATTACCCACAATGCAACCCAGCAGCATCTATCATTAGAACCTGCCTAGCAAATACCAATTCATTCTGCTCCACTTTTTAAACTGTTAACAGTTCACACTGCAGGCATGATGATGACATCATCGGGGCTAAAGCCATTATATATACTGTGTTACAATCCACACAAGACCAGAACTTGGGAAACTCTAGGTCTCCTCTGAATATCATTTATTTGCTAATTTATGCTAACGAGATGCAGGTGGCAATTAAGCCGCATTTGCAAAATCCCCAATTGTGGTCAGCGAAAGCTTATATGTAACTGAGGCCTTCGAGCAGAACAAATCCACGAGGGAAAACCCCTCCAGTGGAAATACCAGACGTTGTGTGGTTGAAGCATGCAAGAAATATCCTACGATATGATGAAATAGTGTTGGATTTTTGAGCTCTTTTGTGGTTTATCATCCAACATTTCCCTCCAGCAGATCCACTATCTATATTAACCTGAGAGCACTTCATGATTACGTGTTTGTGCCACAACAATCTCATCAACTCCTTTAAACCATCAACATCGGAGCCATGCAAAGTGGATCTTACCACATCATTGAAAGTGGATTACAATAACCTGGGCGCCTTGTTTCGGGCTGATGAAGAGGCTGAAAGTAGAATGATTTGCTGTCCAGCAGCTGTGACCCAGTGCTGGGCAGAGTTCCTGTTCCTGGCCTTTTGATAGAATCATGCATTGTAATGAGGCTTGCACTGAATATTCCTGTGTTGAATAAATCATCTGTCTTCCTTATAACAGTTGAAATCAATGAGGAAATAACACAGTAGAACACCGTTGGCAACCACAAACTGAACTGAATGTAGTAAATGCGTAACACTTTGATGTGAGGATTGAAGGAAGAAATAAGTTAATGCTTCAAATGTTTTCTTTGAGAATATTTACATCGTATTATATTTGAACTTGTAGCCTACTGAACTGCTTACAACCATTTTAGGTAAAATTGGATATTGTAGTTCTTTTTATCGTTACTTTTAATAACTTATATTTTCAAGGGTCAATAGTATCCTCTCTTTCATTTTCTCTCTTGGAAACACTTCCCGTTCATTTCCTATTTGAAACACTGCTCCGTGTGTTTGGCAGTTTTCAAAGGAATCTGCGAAAGATGATCAGCTCAAAACAATCCTGCTGATTAGGTTTCCATCATAGGAACTAAAGCCGCCAGCTGAGGAATACTGAGAGGAATACAAACTCACAGCCGACTCGACCATGGCTGGCGCTGGCTAATAATGCTCTCTCTGCCAAATGCAGTGCGATCCATGCACAAAGTAAACCTTTATTTATCAACTCAGTGTGGCTTTATTGGCATGGAAGTTTCAAAAGACAATGTTGCCAAAGCATTGAAATAAAAAAAGAATCATATAAAGGACACAATGATATGAATATTAACACAACATTAACATAACATGACAATTGATTTGTAAAAATACATGTAATACAATTACATTCAACAAACACATTGTGTGTGTGTTTGTGTGTCCAGGTCATTGACTGTCCCTTGTGTATTGTATTTATCAAAAAAATGAATATTAATGTTTTCTTTAGTGCATAATCAGCTGGAAATAAGTTTTGTAACCTTAGAATGAGTCGTTTATGTCGAAAAGACAGAGCAGGGTCCTCCTTGTGGAGTCCACTATGTTGCCCCGCCATGTTGTACAGTAGCCCAGAGCTGACAAACCAAACACTGGCTCTAGATACATAGCTTTGAGTTGGCCACCGTAGTTCTCCTCCACGCTCGGCATACGGGAGACGTTTCTGCTGGATGCGATCTGCAACATCACCGCTAGATGACGCTAAATCCTCCACACTGGCCCTTTAATAAAAGCACTTCTAAAGAACGCATATCATTAAAAAAAACGGAATAAAACAGCCCCCCATTCATTTAAGGGCTACTGTAAGAGTAGGTATGTTAATAACATCGTATCTATTAATCGTATCAAAATACATAGAAGAAAAGACTGGTCACTGCAGCAATGAGGAGACTATAAAAACACTATTAACATGAATAACACAGTCTTGTGTCAGACTTCCTTTCTCCTATAAATATGAAATGATCTCTTGCACAGAATACTTCTGCTTTCTTTCTTTTCTAGATAAGGAGCTGCAGTTGGTGGATTAGTGAACATCCATCCTCCGGTTAACTCATTGACAATAACAGGTTGCTTGAAACTGCATTGCCTGCAGTCCTCCACCAGAGGAGTGTCTCACCCACGATCCGTCTCCCATCACCCCTCTGCAGTCGAGTATGCAGTCAGAATGCACGGGGCACATATGGAACGCAAATGCGATGCAGCGTAATCTCACTTTGTCTTGTTATCCTCAGACGATGGGGCAAACACGCCGTCATCTTTAACGTGTCAGACACTGAATACAGAATAGTGTAAGGATGACATGGTGGAACACATCTGCTGGATCTGAATCCTCTCCTGAGGGACAGGAACACAAAACGTGTGGATTATACCAAAATGAATTACCACTGAACAAAACAATGCTCATGTTGGTGAGGGGATGTTGACATACAGATGTATTGATGATGCTGTTCAGCATTCCCTCAGAGAGTCAGAGATAGGGCTTTGAGATTCAGGCTGCATTGCATTTTGATGGATACGTACTATACTTTTATTTACAGCTACAGGTAGTTTAGATTACATTCCCGTCTATCAAATGTCACCAAAAATCATTCCTCTCGAGGCATTATACATTCACGTTTCCAGTCATAGAAATAATTAAATAGGTCAGGTGCGACTTTATTTTAAATTTTTTTAAATTAAACAATCCATCCACAAGCCTCGTAAATAAGTTATGGAGGTGAACACAAACAACAGCATTTTCTCACAAAACATTGGGGATTATTAGCTTATTATTTTCATGCATCTGTTTATGACTTTGGGTGAATATTTTTCCTGGTCTATCTTTACATTTATGGTTTCTTAGCTCGTAATGGTATTTGATAAAAGGCCCCTCACTGGCCTTCATTTATTGCCTATGAAAAAACACATTCCTGAAACAACCTCAACAAAGTTAGCTCAAAAGCAGTTCAGCAAGGCTGGAGCTTTAAGGGCCCACTGGAGTTCTAAGTTACATATAAGTAGAATTAGTATGAAGGAAAATCAGTGTCAAAATCCGATAGCGCAAATGAGATCCACGCGCGCCCGTGTGTAGAGGTTCCGTGCGTGCAAATTAAACAGGCGCGTGCGTATTTTACTTTGACGAGCACTTTTACATCACTCCGCGCAGAATATCTCTGCTCACGCGAGAGTAAAAGTGAAAGAAGAGCAGTGATAGTAGTCGCGCTCAAAGCAATTTTGCTTGTGCAAACAGAGATAATCTGCGCGGATTAATGTGAAAGCGACAGAGAGTTTCATGCCCATCCACACGCTCCAGCCATCAGTCACATAACACAGTCTATTGGAGAAATGAACGGGAATTTTATCGTCGGAGTCACCTCTTTATCAGACCAAAATGAACTCATGAGCTAAGAAGAATTATGGCGCCAACCGACTCATGGGGATTTAATTATATAAGAAATATCCTGAAATTAGAGTTCCAAGTAAAAACAAACAATTTCCCTCAACATGGGTTTATTTGCCTCGGAGCAATCAAACAAATCCATTGTACAATGCCCTAAGAGGACGGTCACCTGAGGTGCGTTTGTCGCAGTATTAACTCTTTATTGAAACAAACTGGAACAGGTGGATATTAGTGTCAGTTATAACTGATTGGCCCAATGTGTGGTCCCTTGGAATGCTGGAGGGCAAAGCGAAAATTGATTGCTATTCTGAAGGGAAAGTACCAAACCTGCTAAGAGAGCCATTCAGTATGGGAAGTAAAAACCTTTGTCCCCTCCCGGGGGACGGAATATTATCCACCTGCCCTGCATTTAGAAACATTCATTGGAAGCAGTTCTCGTCCTAATCACAGCAATCAAAAGACATTTTCACCCTCAGCACAGCACCACTGCTCCTCGGCTTTAATATTGTAAGAAGAACGTTGTACCTTTC